GGCTTTGAATGCTAATATTTTCTTTGGGTTTAATCTGTTTAGCATGACATTATCCTTAACGGTTTCATCACCAGTTCTGCTTTCCCACCAGCGTTAAGGATGGAGTTTCCAGACGGGCAATCCTAGCTGTCAGCCACTTGTCCCTTATCCATGGCCGCAGGCTACCAAGTGAGCCTTGTACCTGGCCACACCATCAGGCCCGTGGTGAGTGTGCCCTGGGCTGGCCATCCTGCTTTTTGGAAACCCTTGAAAACTCTTTTAATGGATGCTTTTAATGCATCCACCACACTTCCCTAATGGCCTCAGGAAAATGAAAAGGAGAGGCTTTCATTATGTCATTAAGCAGCATTTGGCTGATGTTATGGGCTCCTGGCCTCCAGGTCCCTCTGCTCATGTTTTCTTCTTATTTCTCTGAAAGCTTTAAGTTGGGGCAAGCCATGGCTCCTTCTGTTGGCAAAAACTAGCAAAAACTAGTCCTCCTCCGAGTTTGGCTGTTTGCTCCCTGCCGCCGATTGCTCTGCACCCTCCTGGCAGCAGGACCTTGGGGCACGTCAGTCCCATGCAGGACAGAGTGATGCATTTTGTTCCTCCCTTTCATGGCAAAGCACGTGAAGAAGAGCAGGCAGCTGTGGTCTTAGCTGACAAGCTAAGAGGAGCTTTCCTAGCGGAAAAGCCCAGGGGAGAGCAAGGAAGGCTGCTGGCAAAATCAGCAAGGGGCTCTCTCTCCAGATGCAAGAGAAGCAAAGGAATTATAAGTAACAAGCTGAAGTGCACAGATAATGTTACCCAAGTTACTTTGACCATAAAGCCCAGGACAGTAAAGGCTCTTAACCTCTTATTAATCAGTGAGAAGCTGGAAGAGCCTCACAATGATCTCAGCTGCTAAAGCTGCTGCACCCTTTTGCTCCCTTTAATTTAATTGTATTAGTCCTACCCACATCCTTTGTTCTTCCGCCCCACTCAGGAAATCTGCTTCTGGTTTTGGCAGGGCTCGCTCTGGCTCCACATGGCTGGTTTGCGGACAGCCAGGAGGGACAAGAGGGAGGGCAGGAAGGGGAAGAGGATGGGAAAAGATCCCGTGGGAGCAACCTGCTTAATGTGCCTCATTTATCTTAATAGTGCCACTGCATCCCTTCCTGGTGAAACTTCCTCCTGATAAGCCAAACAGGCAAAATTGAATGCAGAAGGACTCCCACTGATTTCAGCAGAGATGAGATTTCATGCTTAAATCTTAAAAATAAAAAAAGATGAATGCCTGTGAGCTGAGTCTTGCGCAGCAGGAGCTGCCAACCCAGAGCTCAGTCTTACCCAGGGCCTTCAGCTCCGCTGAGGGGCTGGAGTGCCTCACCTTTAGCTTAGCTGTTCTGGTTTGTACCACTTTTTCCTCAACAGACCGCTAAGAAATAAGAGCAACCATTTAGCCCTGGGTCCTCCACTTGCTTAGCATGCAGAAAAGGGTCCAGCGAGCACAGCAGAGGGATTATCAATGCTACCCCCTGGCTGTTTTCTCTGCTGGTGGCAATAGCATCACCTTACCTCTTGCCAAAGCACTATTCCACAGTGCTGTTCTGGGGTGCAAACCCTCCCCTGCCCTCCTGCTGCTTGCTGGACGCCTCTAAACCATCACCGCCTCCTTCCCGCCCACCCCCACAGGGCTGCAGCTCCCCTCCCAGCAGCATCCCAGGGTGTGGGTAGTTTTCCCTGTTGGTGGTGACACAGAGGAGCTCCAGCTGAGGATCCAGCAGCATCATTGCAACTTCACCAGTTTCTCCAGCAAACTTATTGGCCTCCAGTCTCCTGTCGTTGTAAGAATACTGCCACCTCAACCCACTAGCGTTTGTCTTCCCCGCTGCCAGAAATAATGATTCATCGCATGCACACTGGTTTTAGCACTCATGTCCCTTTACATGAGAGTGTAAATATTTGTGCATCTTTGTATAGCAGGAAAAGACAATGTGTGCAGTTCCTCACCTACCCAAGCCCCAAAGCAATCCTCACGGGGGGTTCAGAGGTGATGATGTGTCAGGAAAGCTGCCTTGCACTGCTGGTTTGTAAAACAGCTGCCTTTCACTGTAGGAGCGGGAGGATGTGTCCCCACTGATGCCGTACTGGAGGGGTGGCGTAGGAGGTGTCGTTGTGCGTAATTCATGGCTTATAATGGAAACATCAGAAAAAAAGAAATGGAGCTACATCAGAAAAAAAATTAATGACCTGCTGTGTCAATATGGCATTTTTAGGACCCTTGGTTTCACTTCATCTTTCTTAAATGAGCAAACAAACAAATGCAAGAGGTGACTTCCTGGACACAGATGCGTTATCTCCAGTTTTGGAGTTTGTCCCTGCTGAAAGAAGAGATGGCAGAGCAGCTAACCCAAGGGTGTACCTTCATCATCTTTCCATCAAGAAATGATAATGCTTAATATGTGGAAAAAGATGAAGCACTTACAGAACGTTGTAGTTAAGAAAAGGGATTTTCAGGTGATTTTGAACACTTCAGGCTTGTCTAGGAAACGTGATTTTGAGTTCTGTATTTTACTGGATTTCTCTGACTTCAAAGTCCTGGCATACATGAATCTAATACAGCAAGCCCAGGTTTTCCCAAATATGTAAATATGTAAAATGTCAAGGTTCTCCTCTCCCTTTCACAGCAAATGAATTATCAGTCATATGCTTGCAGTGAAGTAGTCCACCGTTTGCTTCCTAGTTTTATAGGGAGATCCTTCCCTCGTTGCTTGCTGTAATTCTTCTTAGATCTGAAGAGTAAAACAAATTTACATTGGCATGTGGGATTCTGGAAAACCTCAGGAAAAATTAGGACTGGAAAGGAAGTTTTTCTGTCCAATGAAAATTTTTCTGATGTGTTTTTTTCCATATCAGAATGAAAGCTTGAAATATAGAAACCAAAAAAAACCCCAAAATGCATTAAGCTGTCTGCAGCTACTTGTGTTGATTATTTTATCCTTTCTCTTTTGTTAGTAAATTTACTTTATGTTGCAATGCAAAGTAGAAATTCCACATTCCTTGGATAAAAATTTGGGTCCACAAAGTTGATTTCAGTAGTTTGGGAAGTGTTTGGTGGAAAATTTTAAATCAGAAAGTGGTAATCTGCTTCACTAAAAATAAAAAATAATGATCCAGTAAATGACTAATTTTGTGGTCTGGGGTAATTAGCAGAAGAGCTTGGCAGATGGAAAGGCAGCAGGTCTAAATTACTGCACTAAGTCCATTTGCAGGAAGATATTATCTGATTTTGTTGTTATTAATAATAATTAATGAGAATTAAAATGTTCAGCTGGGACTTTTGCTGTTGCTATTAGTGGGAATACGTGTGTGTATATATATGTATTTGTTCTTTGATGCTTTTCTTGGTTGTTTGCCTCTCAATTCTTGACTGTGTTGCTCTGGGACTTTAATAATACTGCAGAAATTATTCAGACCGCACCTTTGTCTAGTACAGAGGAAACTTGAGGCTTTTACAATTAGTGCTGCTGGTTATTCCATGAAAAACCATGGATGATTCCAGGGTCTGACAAGGAAAGCAGCAGTAAAAAGTCAGGCAATAAGCAGTCCTTTATCAGCAGGCTCAGAGGGAGCATCGGTTGGTGGCTCACAGCTCGCTTTTGCATCCTGGTTTTGCGGCACAGGTTGCTGGGGATGCAGGGATGGTGCCGTTGCCTCTGAGTCTGCACAGAGGCGCATGGCTCCAAAGCCTTCTGTGGTGAAATCCAGGCATCACTTTGCTGAAGTCCAAAGTGCTTAAATTTCGATGCCCTCAAAACGGCATGGTGGTCACTTAGTCTTGTGCTCTCCGTGACACCAGCCTTTGGCGGTTCTGCTTAGCATTCCCACCCCAAACCTGTGTCCTGCGGTAGGTTTTGAGCACATGGTTCATGAAACCCTTTGACTAACAGGGTTCCCATGATGGGGGAGACTTTAATGAGATGGTTTAGTGGATAATTGCTCTCACTGTTAAAAACAAAACATGCTTCTCCCTTTGTTTTTGGCTCAACTCTCCTGAGTTTCAGTCTTCCATCCCTTGACTTTGCTCCGCCTGTGTTTGGCAGAGTTAAAGCCCTTCAGAGTCTGAAATCTTCCCACATGCCCTTAAAGACTAGGAGGAGTCATTTCCTAATCTTCTCTTTCAAGAGGACAGTGATAATTGAGCATTTGTTATTGACTCTATTGACTTTTACGTGGTTTGGGTTTGGGTTTTTTAGATAAATTGTAATTCTTCCTTTTTATCATTGTACAACTACTGTTAATAATTGCTGTTACTGTGTCTACATCTAAGGATGTGGCCCCACTTCTGTTAAAGGTTCAATGCTTAGGGCTCTGATGGACAGTTGAAGGGGTGTTCATTTGGTTTTGGGCACTTTTGGAGAAAAGTAGATGCATCAGTCAAAGTGGTGTTTACTCACCTCCTCGGAAGGTTTTGTAAATTGTGTTTATTATTTTTAATGGCTCCTTTTCAAGTGGCATTGTTTCTCCAGTGGTTTCAGTTCTGGTTGTAGTCTGGGCTGTATTCTACCATCCCCAATCATCTTGAGTACTTTCTTCACTTTCCTTAACTTCATTTAATTTCGCTAAGAAATTTCAAAGAGTGAGACGATACTTAAATAATGGAATTGAGGATTAGATGGGGGGATTAGATGGATCCTAACAAGCAGATGCTGTGCTTTCCATGGGAAGATTTCTAAGCTTCATTAAACCAAGAGGGCCTCTTTTCCCCTGACACTTACAGATTTAAAAGCATTGTATTATACCCTATTATTAATACAAATTATAAAATATCTTGATGGCAATAGGCATCTTTTGGTGAAATTTCAAACCGTAGTCATATTCAAAGCCCCCAAGAAAGGATGTGAGCTCTTTTATAGCTTTATGTACCGTGGCTTCAAGGGGCTTGTTCCTCATCCAAGTGCCCAAGCCCTTGCAGGTCAGAGATATAAATGTCTTGTTTATGCTATTTATCCACTTACTTTTATTTTCTCTGTTTGCAGCATTTTTGTTCCTATATATGTTGGGCTGGTGGGAAGTCTCATAAATACCATGATAGCAATGGTCTGGATCCCTTTGCAGGCTAGACCAAAGTCAGACCACCATGTGACAGAGAACAGTAAGTATATATATTTCTGATAAATAGCACATGAATAGGGACGGGGCATTGACATGCTGTAAGGACTCTGCTAAAGGACGTGAGGTTGTATTTAAGGGAAAAAAAGGTGCCAACCTTGAAATGCTGACGCTTTAATGCCTAAGCTCTGCTTGTGGAAGAATATTATTCCCTACCTACAGACCACTCTGCCGTGTGCAGCCCAGTGCTTGCCGCACATCTCAGAAATGGTGAACATGGTCCGCTCGCTGGGGGTTAGTTTGGCCCAGCATGGGAGGCAGTCCTGCTGTCTCACAGGGGTCCTCTGCATGCAGACCCAGCACCAGATCCCAAGCTCCTGCTGTCGGCAGAAAGCTGGTGCTGCAGGGACTCACCTTTTCAGAAAGGTGGTGGTGGACCTGACCAGGTGGTCTCAGAATCTCTTGCTTCCTGCCTCTAACCTGTATAAATAGAGTATTAATCAGTATGTCATCTTCTGTAGGCACATCACAGTCTGGCAGCGTGTTTAGCATCAGAGAAATCCTACGCCTGATGAAGTTTCCAGGAGTAATGGAAGTTTTCATGGTCAAGGTCTTTGCTGGACTTCCCATAGGTAAATCTCACCCATTACCTACGATTGCTGATGTATTTAAAATAAGACGACATACACTGTGGAGCAGCCTTGTCTCAAGTTACTGAAAGCATGTTGCATTTGATCACAGAGCAGTGAGGATTCAGCTCCTAACTTGATGCTGGATACTTTCAAATGCTCTCAGCTACATAGGGTCAAAAACCTGTGACTTAATGTAAAACAGACTACTTGCCACAGGCTGCTTCTGCAACTTTTGGGAAATCACTTAATCTCTCTACCCCATTCCCCTGGCTGTAAAAGTTTTTTTCCTCTGGTCTGTCATTTCTGTTTAGGTTGTAACCTCTTCAGAGCAGAGGGAAATCATTTGTACTCTGCCAGAAACACTGAGGTCCTTCCTGATTTTACTTAATGATTTTAAGGGGTATGTGTAACCTAAAAACCTATTGCTGGACAACAGGCTGTGGCTGCTCTCACTGCCGGCTGCATGCAGGGGAGCCACAGCATGTTTCTTCCTTTGCACATTGATGGTGGTGCTTGTTTTCTCTACTTTATATATTCTGCTTGGAATTTTGTGTCATGGTAGGAACTCGCTGCTACCTCAAACCCATCCCAAACCTGCCTGTTTCCCTGCTCCCTTGCAGTCAGTTGCTTCCTGGCATTGTCCATGTCTCCCAATTTGCCTGGCTGTACATCTCATTGGTCACAATTCAATTATCTTTAATTTTGCCTACCCTCTGTCTTCTCTCCACTTCCCCCCACCCAATTGTCTAGAGATTAATCCAGCATGTCAGCCTTGTTAATGGTGGTGTAAGGAAAGGATGATGTTCTCTGCCCTTCCACACAGAGAGCCTCCACGGCTCTTTTCCCAGTCAAACCTAAAAGTGCAATTTCTCTTGACTAGAGTTTCAAGAATTGAATTTTGCACCCGTCAAAACACGTGCATATCACACGCCTGAACAAAGTAAGGCAATTCCCCTCCAAATAAGGATCTTAAGAGAGGATTTAAGGCACCTTAGCTTTTACACTTTGCATCTTTTTCTAATTCATCTGTGTCTGGAGAAGCCCTTGAAGCTTAAATAACATGAAACATAATTTACAAATTAAATTCTAATTTGTAAACTGTAAATTCAGTTTACAAATGAAAGTAGATTTGGCTGTGGAGAGTGGCTGAATCGAAAGGGGGTGGCATTTCTGGGCTTGGCCAGGTTCATCTGTTATTCCTTGCTAAGGCTCTGGGAAACAAGTCCGACTGGAGCTGTAGAATAACACGCAGGGAAGTATAAGGAACTTCTGATTTTCTTTTTCTTTCTGTCTGTGCATAGTTGGGATTTGCTGAGATCAGTAATGCCAGTTGGTCGTACCCCCACCACTGGAGACAGGATACAAGTCTCGATGGACTGCTGGCTTGCCCTAACAGTGTGCTTTTTAGGTTCTTCCGAAACCAAACTTTTAAAACCGTATTTTTAAAAGTGTTTATAAAATGATAGCATGTCACAGAATGAGATAGTCAAGTGATGTTTTAAGAGGGTTTTCTTTGCTGATTCTGGCTTATTTCTCAGCTTAAAGTAGCATTCATTTCTCTGCTTAAAAATGCCATCCCGAGACCACATCCATATACAATCTGCACGGTAATTTCCTGTGCACTCTCCTTTTTCCAAATGCCAGGCAAGATGTGCTTTTTTGTAGTCATTGCTGCTGAAATGCAAATTCCTCCCATTGCAGAAGATGTTCTTCTTTTCCCGTGCACAGCAAAAACACGCACCCAACCAAAATAAACATCTCCTGCCCAAAACTGCAAGGGAACTTCTAGGCAAAGAGAATGGAGACAGTGAAGCTGAGATTTAAGGCAGGACATGGGCTGATAGTCTGTCACTGAAATGGCTGGGAGTATTTCAGTGAGAGTGGGAATAGGTTCACCTGAGGCACTCCTGCTACAAGCATAGCGCTTGCACTACAGTGGGGAGTGATTAAAATCCTAGTGACTTCTCTTTGCAGGTCTCTCTTCAGGTTACTGACCATACAACGGCAGCTGAAAGGGGATTTGGCCATCACCTACTCCTCTGCAGCTCACAGCTGGAGGCTGAGCTGCTCATGAGCTCGTTTACCTTTCATCTCCCGGCTGCAACTGCATAATTAATTAGATCACCCAAATTACAGACCTTTCTTTATTTACTTTGTAAACAAGTTTGTGATATACACAGAAGAAAATCTTCTGTTCCTTATGGATCTCATTGTTGTCTAAAATTAGCTTGTTTGAGACTGAAAGAGCCTCTCCGAGAGGGCTGCAGGGTTGGGAACCACCTCCCTGCGTTGCATAAAAGCAGAGACATGGGCTCTGTGCCTGTTGCAGGAGGGTAGCTGCCAAGGGATGGATGGGCAGCGGACCATTCCAGCATGGCCAAATTACATCCTCAACTGACCTGGGCAAAGTGAGTCTCATTGCAGTGTGGTAGATAAGGGACAGAGAAGAAAACATGAGGGTAAAAATGCCAAACATACTTTTTACAGAGCAGAAATCACCAGGGCCTGAAAACACTGATAATAGCTGCTTGTATGAATCTTTGGCTGCCTAATCCCTTTAGAAAACCTCATTTTAATGCAGACACTTTAGGACCTTCATCCCATTTTTAAAGGGACTTTCTCTCATACATGGAGTAGGATTTTGCTGTGCACCCTGGGGCTCTGTATCCCATTGCATTTGCAATCCAGTGTAGGAGGGCTGAGCCAGGCTCCCGGAGGCTGTGCTCGCCTTTTCACACTGGTTCTCAGTTCGGCTTGCTAAGCTGGCCCTCCCAAAGCCACAAAGCCATGGGCTGCTTTTAGAAATGTAATGTTTGGGGTTTTTTTTGAAAACACAGCTTGTAGTCCTGCATCTCCTTGGTGCTTTTCCTCATCTTTATCACATCTCGCATTTATCTGCCTTTTGCTTCATAACCCTAGTTACTCATCACTCTGGTGCCAGGTTTTCTAATGAGTTCAGCCCTTTATTTAACACCCCCAACACCCCCCATCCCTCCCACCCTGCAAGAAAAGGCAAGGTTTCTGAGGATATTTTTCACTATTTTCCATTTTTTCCCCATTGAATGCCTGAGCCTCACAGTGTGGATTGAGGCCTATCCAGGCAGCTCCTGCATGGGCTTTTGGTGTCCCCAGAAGAGCCTGAAGACCCACCACCCAGTGAGCCCTCCCCTGGGAGATACTTAATTCAGGTGGCTGCGTTCAGCTGACCTGCAGCTTACCCAGGTGGAACCTGATAAGCTCGTTGTAAGAAATGATTGTTCCAATGAGCATAAAATTCTCTGAGTCCTATCTAGGACTCGCTTTGCAGGTGTTACTGATAAATGTGTTGCCAGTGGGAGAGACACCCTTAGTTGGTGAAAGAGGTGGGAGCAGGGGGGTCTCCCTTGCCCAGACAGCTTTAAGTGACCATGCCCACACAGGGGGTGACACCCATCTAGAGAGCTTTGCATCTCTGGGGGAGCTGTGCAATGCTACTTAAAGAGCCCAGCCTATCCCCCTGCTCTGAAAGAAATCAGCTCATTTGGAGGAGAAAGACCCAAGGCAGCCTTAACTTGGTGAGGGACTTCAAAGGGGAGAGGAGCTGTAGAAGCTGGCATGTGGTACCAGGAAGAAGCATCAGGTATGTAGGAAGGTTGAGCCCCTCCTAGGTGGTACCTGCAGTGGGGTAGAAGGATGAAGGGTGAGCGCCTGCTTCAATCTAATCTTCCTGCAAGTGAAATGAAATGTGGTTTTTCTTTCATTTCTTCACGTGTGCCTTTTATAAACATGTGCAACTCTGTTGCCTGGTTTGGATGTTGTGAGTAAATACTGTTATTTGCATGTTACCTTAAGCCGGCTTGAGCTAAGAAGGATTTCAAAGCAACTGGATAATGACGAGGTGCTCTCTGCAGAGGGGTGTGGTGAAGCCATAAATCTTCATGAACCCCAGCTCCCTGGCACCTTCTTCACATATCCAGAGAGTAGCAGAGCAGGGCGCCCTACCTGTCCCCCATCCCTCTCCCCCAGTGCTGCAGGGCCAGCTGGGGCGCAGGTATCTCCCTATTAAGGGGAGAAGACGTGTCTCCAGCGAGCAGTGGGCTTCAGGAAGGCTTTGTAGCAGGTCCTGGTGTGGGAGGGTGGTGGTCCCTCAAGTTATAGTCTTGGGGTGCTCGGAGGAGGGTGCTCACTGCTGCAGGTACTCCACTGGTAGCAGCACAGCTGGATGCAGTAGAGTTGCGCTGGTTTGTTAGGGTGTGAGTCCTCCATAGTGTTCTAGTCAGCAATCTGGGATCACTCTCCTCACGCTTCCTGGAAGTGCCAGCAAGATCCTTCCTATGCTGCGGGATTAGTGACTCACTTTACCAGGCCACAAGCTGTCTTCTCTCTCCTCACACGTTGCCTCCTGGGCTCTGTTTTCTTCAGGAAAGAGAGAACCACAGCTCCCTATTTAACCAGTCTTTGTACCTTGAAGGATCCTATGAGGAAAGGCAGAACTCCTAAAGGTTGTCTGCTCCCTTCTCCTCTTCCTGGCAGGATCAGTGCTCTCCAACAGGCACGTTGTGGGGATTTTTACGCAGAGACAGCCCCAATTTCCTACTGTCTTGGTCCATCTGATGTGCACAAGATACTAGGGGAGGCAGTAGCCTACTACCCCATACCACTCTTTGAGAGCAATGTTTTGTTATAATATTTTTAATTTGATGGCTCTTTGTGTACAATGGGAGCATGTGTACGCATGTGTAGTTTTGTGTATGTTTGGTGGTGGGGGAAACACACACTATTGTATTTTCATGTGAGATTGAGTGGGCATTTTCCGTTATGCTTTCCAGAAATTACCTTAATTGAAAAGCAGACCCAGCCTGTGCTTGTTCTGTCCGTACTTTCCCAACTGCTTTGCATCGACACCACTATCGGTCCAGGAGAGCAAGAGATTTCGTGTGCCACCGACATCACTGCCAAGGGGTGCAGTGAAACTGCTGTATTTAGGCTGATGTCAACGGGTTGTTTCCCAGGCAGCATTCCCTATGGTGAAAATCTAATGTCAGGCAAAAGGGGCTAGGAATCCAATCAGATTATTTTTATGGTTACAGTCTTGTCTGAACAAATGTTTTCTCGCTGGTTAGTCTGGCTTGGGTGACGAAAATATTTACCAGTTTATAATAAACAGCTGAATCTACAGCCTACGTAGTCACATTATTTTAAAGATGAAAGTAATGGGGATAGAAAAGTTAACATTTAAAGATTAAATTACTACATTGACTTTGAATAGGATTCTGCTCGTGTTTATATCCAGTCCTGGTAACCCCAGGGAGAGCTACTGACTCATACTGGAGGTGACTGGAAGCAGGGTCTGGGCTACTATATGCAGTGCAAGTATATTGATGTGTGCTTTTCATTAACCTCCCCTGTAGGTTTGTTCCTGGTTATGTTTTCCATCATCTCTATGGAGTTCTTTGGCTTGGAAGCAGTGGAGTCTGGATACCTGATGTCATATTTTGGTGTCCTTCAAATGGTAAGTGAAGTGGAAGTCCCTGTCTTGCCGTACCAGTATCTAATTTGCTACATTTTTGACACATGCTCTCCCAAATCCAGGTGTAATATTGACAGGCAAATCCTAACTCTGCCATGTAGCACTTGGCTTCAAAACATAGAAGTGACTCCAAATTAATTCCATTCCTTGGAATGGGAAGAAATCAGAGCAAGGAGTGTCCTGAAAGCTTTCTTCCCCTTGTTCCTCCTTGCAGTTTTTTAGGCTGCTAAAAGGAGCTAAAATTTCTTTGGAATGATACATTGCACTGGTTTGTGTAACAAAACTGACATTGAAGCTAAAGTGCCTTGACTAAGGTTTTCCCTGGTGAAGGTTAGCTGATTTACATTTACTTAGTAGCACCTTGTAAATTTATGTAAGTCGGCGGTCTTACTGGTGTTTTCACAGATACCTTCAGTGTTGAGAAAGGACTTGTTTCTGCTGTGTGGAAATGAGTACAACAAGCTTGCACTTTTTAAAAAAAAATAAAAAATAAAAATAGGCAATGCTACATGATCAGGAGACTTGCAAAATGGGTAAAAGAGAAAAGTCAGCTGAATTAGGCAGTAGCAGGGCCAAAAAAATAAGATGCTGTATTATAGCAGAATTTTCTTTTGGAGGAAGAAGCTAATAGTTTTGCAGACAGACCAACAGATGGTTATAAGCAAGCCTCAAGGTAGGAATGCAAAGTAAGCAATACCCTGAAGGAGGGTGGTCTTGTTATTAAATCCACCTTCATTTCCTGGGCATTGCCACAGAGTTCCTGTGGGATCTGGAGGCTCTTCTCATCTGGGAAATGGCAGCTTTAGTTCCTTCCCTGTGATTTGGATTTGGCTTAGTGTTACCAGTTGCTTGGGCTTTGTCCTGTGCTCACCTGCACCTTGACAGAGCAGCTGACGAGCATGGCCATGTATCAGTAAGTGGAGTCTGCAGAGTAAAATGGCTGGACCTGAGGAGCTGGTGCCTTCGCTATGTCCGTTCTGGAAGGGCGGCTTTGGACTAGCTGTCGCTTGGTCCTGTGAGCTAAACATCTGCTACCAGCTGCATGGGCCCTCATATCCAGTCTCATTGGAAAGAAAACCAGTTTGCCACTGTACAGCATGGAAAGAGGGTGACAAGTGGGGCGATCGGCAGCTGCTTTCTAAAGCATGCTTCTGGCCCAAACCCCACTGCTAACAGAGGCTTTGCCTACGTTAGTCTTTGTATGCTTCCTCCTGGACCAGGGTCTGGTACCTTCTTCCCCCTTTGAATGTTGAGGGACTTCCCAACAGCTACGCTCTTAACTTAGTTTTATCAGTTGAATCCCTGTTATATGTGTCTACGCTGAAATCAAATTTGGGGTTGCGGCATGGCTATGGTGTGCTTGTTTCAAACCAGCTAATGTGGGCAGTCAGGGCAGGAGTGGCTTCGCGTTGCTAGATGGAGCTTGGATGCTGCTATTATGTCTGGGATATCTGTCTGCCTTCACTGCTATTGTTTTCTGGGTTAGTTTGGTTGAAACTACTGTAGATAAGGTTACCTGTGCCGCCATGCTGGTGCACCCTACATATAGATACAGCCCTGGAAGATACGGGAACTATAGCATTCACTCTGCTTCCTAACAAATAATCAGATGTCAGTGCTATCCAGGGACCTGACCCTTCCCATAGTCACAGGGTTTCATCCCACAGAGGCCAATCATACCTGTTACCATGCTCTAACCCAGCAGCGGCCCACAGGCTCAGGTGCAGCATCTACTTTGCTGGGGAGTCTTTGCCTCAGGACATTTGGTGCAGAAACTAGCTTTGTCAGCCAGGCAGTTTTCTTTCATCTATCCGTGCAGTTTCTGTCCATGTTGCTACACATATTCTACAGCGCACGATTCTGGACATCAGAAATATAGGAGGAGTGAAATGGTCATACGGTAAAGAAACTTCTCTTCATGATGCCACATTGGGGGTTGCTGTCAGAACACTAAAAAGGAAAGGGGGGGAAAAAATGCATGATTTTTTTTTTTTTTAGAAGCCCAGGACACCTGATTCCTGGTGGCAGCAAAGCCATGTTGGCAAGAGCTTGCAAAGCACTGCTTTCTGCTTTCTCACTTGTTCATTCCACTTTATCACTGGGAGTTCCAAGCTGTGCTCTGGTTTATGTAGGAACAGATCCTCAACTGATCCAAATGATACTCTCACCATCTGGCTTTTAAACTATTGTAAAACATTAGAATTTGTGCCTTTACTTTCAAATCAGGTCTATGGCTAGAACCACCCAAAGATACCCCTTGCAGATAGTGACTGGGTTAATGTCTTATGGCTGCTTTCTGTTGGGGTTCCTCCAGTAGAAGATGTATGCAGGGAATGCAACGTGTGCTGTCTCTGTCCCGCCAAGCCCAAGAGTTTCTTGTGTGCCTTCATCTTGCCTCAGCTGGCATTTCAGATGCATTTGTTTCTGTTGTACAGTGAATTGATACTGCTGGAGATATAAATGCAGATTAAGGTGCAAGCAAATTCCAGCAGTCTGGATGGGTGAACAGTGATTAATATCTGCTGACTGGCTTCTCCACTTCACTGAGTAAATTATAGCTTTATTCATAAGGAACATAATGTCCTTTTCAATGAATTTCATCAACCAAATCCTTAGCTTTGATTTCTCATTCCTTAGTGTGCCTTTCCATAAAATATTGTGGGGCTTTTCCCATTCTCCTGGACTTGCTCTGAGCCCTCCTGTTAGAGGAAACATCCCCCTCGTGTTTGCATCCCTTCCTGGACCTGAAAACGGGTCACCTTTAAGGACTTAAGTGGATGGGAGCAGACGCCACAGAAATAAAGGGGAAAATAAAAATAGAGTAATGTCCCGTTTACTTTAAACCTCCCTGTAGACATTGAACACAGTGCCTGGGTGGCTGCACAGCGTGGTTGGCTGATACACCCAGCACCATGTCCCAGGGGCTCACCTGCTCCCAGCACACGTCGCTCGCACTAAGCAGCTTCAGAGCAGCAAGGCTTAGCTGAGCACTTCACTTACCTCTTCCCCAAAAGTCATGCACCAAGAAAAGCATTGCCTGGTCTGCCAATTCCTGCCAACTTTTAGTAGTATCATTGCTTTGTGTTATTGTATTTCCTATTTTTTTAATGATATCTTCAAAAAGCGAGCACCTTCCTCTAGCACAGGTGACGTTGCAGCCTCCTTTCCCAGCCAGACCAGTAATCCCAGGATGACTCAAATAGCGATGGTCTCTTCCCGCTTTCCTCTCCTGCCCCAAGGATATTATGCTCCAATTGCTTAACCTAATTTTTCAACTTCTCAGCCTCATTTAACCTACTGTGGTGAGAAGCAGCCAATGCACCGTAAACATCTGTTTCTCACTGTTCCTTCCATTCAAGCCAGCTGCAGAGCACCTAGAGAGGAGATTTGGAGTGGCTTTGTGTCAGTCCACCTAATTTTTAGTAGCCAACTCAAGTACTTCGTCATCAATATCTCAAACGCCTCTTTGCATAGGGAGATAAGCACAGAAACACTGACCCTGCAAGAGGGGAGGCATTTGTCACCTTTGCAGGCGGAGAATGTTAGTTAGGACATTAGCAGCCTGGCTAATTCAGGCAGCCCCCTGAGGGTTCCCATCCAGAGCTCCCCAGCCTCACCTTGTCTTGCTTGGTCCTGTTTTGCCACTTTATGACCCTGCAAGCCCCCCAACGTTTAGGGGGAGGAAGGGTGCCCTGTGGCCAGCTCAAGAGGATCCCTGCAATTTGGGAAGGCAGATTCAGGGCTGCTTTTTGAGCCCAGGAGCCTTGTGGGCTTTGGCTGGCTGCTCCCCAGAGCACCTCTCTTGGTTGCGCCCTTGCTGAGCTTCAGCTTTGTCCACGTGGGAACGGTTCATGGCGTTTGCCAGCAGCAAAATGGCTCAGCTGGTGCTAGAGGTGGGTCTTGTCCTCACAAGCACTGTGCATGGAGCACCAATGACCACCGCTTACGGCACAGGGTGTCCTCGACACCCTCTTCCCTTTGCCGAGCTGGCTGTCCGTGGCATGGTCACCCTTCACCCTGACGCTGGCGGCACATCTCCTCTCAGCCACTTATACCCCTGCATAGAGGGACGCAGGTTGCCTTGCTGCTGCTCCCAGCCTGTCTCACGGAGACCTGAGTGGCCCAAAGTAATACATCTGCTGATGTATTTTTATAAAAGTTCTGATGGGACTACGTGTCCGTAGGGAACGGGGGCTTCCCAGCTTTCTGGATGAAGCACTGCCCCAGGAGCAGGCACCAATTTACTGATCATGGTTAGGCAAAGAGCAGAGCATCTCATAGCAGAAGATGTTGGAAGTGTGGGGCAGGCTTAGGGGTGGGAGGGAGGGTTCACTTCTGGGTTGGGACTGAGCCAAAGAAGGTCAGAGAAGGAAAAGAGTGTGCAGCAAGGCAATGTTGTAGCACTGGGACAAAGAGCTGTTTGATGAGGAAAAGTCATCACTTAAAAAAATGGAGTATGACTGAGGCTGGAGCGGGCAGAGGTCTGATGACAAAGTGAAAACAGCAAGTTGGGGGTAATTCAAGCAGTCCAGGGCTCTGCAGTGATACGTGAAGCACCCTGGTAGTGTGTGGCTGTGCCAGCTGAAGTCCAGGAGGAGGAGTTGAGTAGGAGATAATTAAATGAGGAGGAGAAGGCAGACAGCAGGAGGGGTACCTCTGTGCTGGGTGTCTTGCATTGCTGAGTTTCCCTTGCTCATGGTATGTTCGAAGCATCTTTATCTGATCGCCAGTGGATCTCCAGGCAAGAGATGCGAGAACCCGTCAGGGATGCAATCCCTCTGTCCTCTGGGGCTGGACTTCCAGAGTCCTCTCATCTCAGAAGCTATGCAAACAGAATTTCCCTCATACTGAATGCCTGGGAGTGCAAGATGCCATTCAATCTCCCTTCAGAGAATAATTAATTTCATAATAATTTAAAATAATTTAACTTTGCATAATGGGCAGAAGCGGGCCTAGGTTCCGGCTTTTTTTGGAGTTGCGAGCACAATAGCGTGGAGAACTTCCAGGCATAGTATCTGACTTGGAAAATGCCGCCGGAGGATTAGGCAAGTGAAATAGATGGAGTCCCTGGTTTGTACCTGAAGTCACATCTGATGCTTAGATTTCAAACCGCAGGAGGGGGTGGGGGAAGCTTTCCTTTAAGAACTTTTTCTCCAAAAAAACCCAAAGCAAAACGTACCAAACAAAAACTCTGGGTGGGACAAAGGGGTAGATATTTATTACCCTGAGGATCAAGAAATCATAAGACGTCTGTTCTATTTACTGTGTTTAAATTCATATTGTTATACAAACTCCACCTCTAGCTGTGCAGCTTCTGGAGGGACAAGTTGGTACGGAGTGATCCTGAAAAGATGAGAGAGATTCCTGGAGGAGAGATTTACATTGCATATCATCTTATCACCAGTCTGTCCCTCTTGCCTTTTTTTTTTTTTTTTTTTTTTTTTCCTCTTGCACAGCAAAAGAGATGATTAAAGAGCCAGGGATTTAATTACAGCCAGGTATGCCTAGGGGGAAAACCCACTTGGTGAAAGGACCTTGCAACAACAAACAGAAAGTTCTCCAGTTTCCTAGCTTTGAAGGATTTAAGTTTGGGGGAGGGGGGGGGTGGTGCGCGTTGGAGGGGGAAAGAAACTGCTTAGGCTGGAGTTTGCAAAACACAGGGTCCTCTTCCCCCTGTTTGCCAAAGTGCTGCCTTCAGCAGTTTGATCCTTGCTGTCCTCTCTCCTTCTGGTCCCACCACCCTCCTGCTCCTCTGCAAGACCTGAACTATTTCCCAAGCGCTTTCTGGCATCGCTGTGTCAACTCCCTTTTCCCCCACCCGAGGTTTCGCACTGCCTTCAGCCCGTGCAGAAAAGCCTTGTGATTTTTGTTGCCCCCTGCAGTCTGCCCCAGCCGGTGCCCACCTGCGCGTCCCACCCCAGCCAGCACTGCGCTCGCCCTGGGAACTGCCAGCCGGGCACGATTTCAAAGGCAAGAGATATGGGTCCGGCGCGTGGGAGGCTGCCTGTGATGTGAATCATGCTATCTGCACTAGGGATGGGGCCCTGCATCTTCTCTACTAGGCTGTACCAGCTTATCTGGCCCGCTGCGCCTGCCGCTCCAACCTTCTTGTGTCTTTTCATTACTGGGCCGTTGGGTGAAAGGGAATTTATTTTGTTGCTGGGCTCTGTTGGGCTTTTGATCGATGCTGATGTCCTGTGTCCACTGAGCATGGAGGACTCTCTAACCTGTGTCACTCTAACCTCCACCGATGAGGTTAGCTACTGGCAGGTACCAGTCCTGCTCAACAGCAGCTCCACACAGCAAGGCTAGTGCTTTGCCATTCAAAAGTCTTCCAAAAATTAGCACCTTAAACCTTCCAAGAGCGACAATCTTTTTCATCCTGCAAGGGATTCCTGAAATTTGTTAATCGGGTTAACAATAAAATGGGCAATTGGCTCTTTGGAGCAAGTGAGAGCTGCTGCCTTCCAAGAAATCTAATACAGTGATAAAGGGTATTCTTCTACATGATCAGCTGAACTTGTGTAACGAATCCTCAGTTTGGCGAATCCAGCCTAACGACAAGGAGAGATTTGGCTGTTCTTATGCATTTATTGGGAGACTTATTTGCCTTTAAAGAAGGAAAGGGGGAAGGAAAAAAAGATGAGTTGGTTTATCCTGTGACATGTGTACACAGCCACGGGCAGTGCCTGTTATTTCACTTGCAAACAATTTCCTCTCTCTTTTGTTTATTGATGACAGAAGGCATTCCAGCCAGGTACACTGGCTCTTCCCCGACTTCAAAGGAGGTCAGGTTACAAAGGCAAGCACCATCCAGGCAAAATGAAACGCAGGAGGGGCAGGCCCATCGCAGTCAGTCTCAAGGGGAAGTTTCATGCAAGGAAGAAGCCCAGAACAACGAGGATAAATCCCATTGCTGCCTCTTTGGTGCCATCAGAGCTTGTCCGTGGAAGTGAAGATGGCTAAGTCACACGGGATGCCCCCACTACCCCAGGGGAATGGCAACACACGTCCAAAACCTTACATGGGAGAGTGCACATGAACCAACTTTCACTTCCTGCTTCCCAATGTGCCTGTGCAGGCGGCTGCTGCTCATGCAAACTGTGCGCCCAGGGAAAATCGCAGGCTGGACGTAATGGGGTTTCAGGTCTCAATTCAGACTGGAAGTGAGGCCGGAGCTCCTGGTGACTGGAAACATTATCCAGTGCGTAAATCAAGGCACTGGTGTTTGATAGTGTCCAAAATCAAGATGATGGGCCTTGACCACCTGGCTGGATCGGCAATGACCATGCTGGGGAGGGAGTCTGGCAGCCCAGATAACCAGTGGGAAGGCTGCAGTCTGTCTGTCCCAAGGATGGGTGCTCATCCCCGAAGGGAAAGCAGGTGACTTGGGCTGACAGTTGCCCTTGGAAGAAGTCCCGTGGCTGAGTTGGTTAATTCAGACGTGGTGTTTTGCCTCATGCTTGTATTGCCACAGGCTGAGTGATGGGGAAGTCCGTGCTGAATGCCAGCCTTGGCACAAGGACCATCCCGCTGCTCCGCTCACTCAGGGGACAGCCCTGGTGGCCTCTGATCTGCCTGTCTCCAGGTCCTGCCTTCTCAGAGCCTGGCTTTGCTGCAGCGGCACTTGTTTCCCACACTTAGGTGCTTGCACATAGTGACAAGAGATGTTTTTGGGTATGCCACTCCTGTGGCAATCAGATCAGGCTGTTTTGGGATGTTGCTGATGATATACCCCAATGACTCAAGGAAGGGCAGGGACTGGCCTGCACCTGCACAGTGTATCCTGATTAAATACACCATTCAAGTCCAGGCAAATTGAGAAACGTTTCCTTTCCTCTGGTGGCTCAGCAGAGCCGAACTGGGGTTCAGGTGATGCCACCGCTGAGTCAAGCCATGTCCTGCGATGGGGCTCAGTGCCCCCCACCCCCCAACGTGACTCAGCACAGACCCAGCTGGGGCGAGCCAGTGGGAGGGACTGGGAAGTTGCAAAAAGTTAATGACGATTTTTCGTTTTAGGAGCGCTCAGCTTAATGAAGCGTTACTCAGCGGCTCCTCCACCCACCCCTCGAGTAGGAGCTGCTGGGGCTGGTATCAGCCTCCTCCTGTGTCCATAGCAGGGCTTTCAGCCAGGGTGACTCAGGTCACCTTGTGCATTGTCCAAGCACCACGCCGCAGCAGGTCCACTAGTGTCCCCATGACTTCTTGGCGAGTAATATAAGCCGGGGGAGACATGCAGAGCCCATGCCACCATCACATGGTGGCCAGGCACATGTGAGCTGAGCTCTCAAGCCCTACCCGAGGGTGGAGAAGGGAACAAAAAGGAGGCAAGAAAAGTGTTTACTGGGAACCAAATGTGCCCTCGTGTCAAAAATGGCATGTGCTTTGAAGCAAAGTGAAAAGTTTAATTTTGGCGTTTTCTATTAAGTTGTAGCTTGTTGGAACCACATTCAATTAGTAGCTATTGTTCTTTATGCCAACTTTATTTTATTTTCACTCTGTTGCTATTTGCTCTTTGCTTTTTTATTTTATTTTAATAATTAAATTGCTTTTTCTGGACTGCTTGTTGTAGATTAATGTTTCTTTTCTTTTTAATAATTTTCTTATTAATTATACACTCATTTCCTTTCAGTTGAGTTCAGGTTTCACCCTTAGGACTAACACAGCAAGGCTGAGCATGGTGTAGCTTCATTCTAGGTCCGAGCAGAGCACCGAGGTTTTCTGCAGGCTGGACTGCCATTGAAATGAAGCCATCGTGACAAACAAAGCATTTTGAACCAGAGCTCTTCTTTCAAGTCAGAGGGGTTTTCATTTGGATCAAACAAACTCTTTCAAGGCAGGGAAAACTTGGTAGATTCCTATCCGTCCCTCCACTGAAATGCAGTTGGTTGGGCTTCATTTTCACGGTGATCTTTTCCAGCCTCTGTCCTCTTATGTCTGCCTGGGCCAGTGTCACCTGAAGTATGGGAGATGCTGAACAGAGAAATGAAAGAGGGAATCTTAGCTCTACAAAGTGCTGGAAAAGCCAAATGCTTCCTGGGTTTTAAGTTTTTCCTGCTCCTCCTTCCCTCCCCCTCTCCCCCAGTTTTTATTTAAAATCTGTAAAACCAGTTCCCCGTCCCTCACATGTGTGCGTACTGGTGGGGCTGGGTATTAGCATCTCCGTCGTACTTGTTTCCTGTCTAAAAATTATGAACCACCCAATTTGTATATTTATAGTTTAAAATAATGGCAAGAGAAGGTACAGGAAAGGAGGCATTTTCCTCCTCTGCATACAAATGTATAATTTTTCTTTGGAAGGACTTGCCAAGAATGAAGACCTTAGTATTAATTGTATTTCACAAAAACATCATGAGTTAGAAAAATTTGTTTGTGTCTGCAAGCGTCTTTAGAAAGTTTCAATCACTGCTAGTGAGTAGGCAGTGATGGTAAACTCAGGCATGCACTCTGAGTAAAGACTTTCAGCTGACAGGATGGATCTATCCGTAGGATGCAAAATGCTTGAAATAATGGACCATGTCTTCTAGCCATTTACTGTGACAGTGAGGTCCCTTTTTCTCCAAAAAAACCCAAGGGAATAACCCATTTGCTGCCTTTCCTTTGCTTGAAACGGTGTAGCAGTTCTCTTTTGAGCTTGTTTAAACTGTTATAAATCATGCTTAACAGTTCTCATGTGCTTCTTTCCCAGGTTATCCAGGGTCTGGTAGTTGGAAAACTCACTAAGCACTGCACAGAGAGGACCCTGCTCAGGCTCAGCGTCTTTGTCTTCGCTGGTGTGGGCCTAGGCATGGTAAGGCATGGCATCAAGTCATCCATGGTGCCGTTTAATAACATAGCGACACGAGGTCCGTGAGGCCTGGCTGCAAGCTTTACCCCCTGAAAAGCAACCACCAGTTTTGCTGGGTGGTCCCCGGAAGGGGGGGAAACCAGCTCTCCTGGGCCTCTGTGCAAACAGAGCCGCGCTTAGAGTAAGCACCACGCCAAATAACGATAAAAAGCCACGTAATAGCTACAGGGATTAAAAAAAAAATTAATCTTGCACAAAAAGTCGTTAAGTCCCTCCTGAGTCACTGGATTTGCATAGAAATCCTGCCCTTGGTCTTGTCAGTGACTGCATTTCCTGAACTACCCAGAAAGTAAATGAAGATTATGGGGGGTAAAATCATTGCGGTTGTACGCTTCTGCGAGACAGTGGAGGTTGTGTGCTTTTCTTCTGGGGCTTTATTTTTGCCTAATTCCTCCAAGCTGAGAGTATTTGGGAAAGGAGGTAGCAAGGCAATAATTTTGTTCCTTCCTTTTGGGATGAGTGATGTTCCCCATTGCCAGTTGTGTCTGCATGGGTGACAGTTGATGCCAATCTCAAACGGTAATTGGAAAATCGAGTTGACGTAGGCAGCTCTGCCGGTAATCGTGTTTGCTCAGATAAGCCACACTCAGGGAACCGATAGCTCTGCCCAGGTGGTGGGGACGGAGGAAGGGTGCACACTGGTCCCCGTCAGCGAGATGGGCCCAAAGGATGATTGAGCTGCATCAGCCTTTTGACATTCCCTGTAGGGTTTGGCCTCAAGCCTTGCTACTGGGGCACCAGTGCTCCCGCCGGCGTGGGTAGGATGGTTGCCTTTCTCACAACCACGCTGCAGCCACAGGGAGGTCAGGGCCAAATTCTGGAAGGTATTGAGGCTCATGGTTCCAGCTACATGGATGAGATGAGGCATTTATGCACCTTTGCTAATCTGAGGCTAAATCGTGTGTCCAAGATGGGGCTGGGAAGGGAGGACGGATGCAGGTGAAGGACTGGCTTTGCAGATGGAGCGCGGTCCCCCTCTCTGCAATTTTGGGGCTCACAGTGGTGCTTCTGGGTGGTGGGATGCTCGAGAAGGGTCCCACCCATGTGGTGTCACGTGTTTTTGGCTGACATCCATGTGCCACCTTAGCAAGGGACATATGCACAGGACTTGGTGCTCCTGAGCATGGCCTGAGAAGGGCTTTGAAGGTCTCGCCATTGTTTCTTGTTCATGGGTGGGAGCAATTAGGTGGGACCAAGGTGGACCTGGCCCATCTGGAGCACCCCCAACCAGGTGCAGGGCAGTGCGCTGCTAGGACTGGCTCCCTGTGCCAAATCCCAGTCCCATGGGAACCGGGCAGAGGAGCAACGTGGAGTAAACAGATTTTGTGCGCTGAAGTCTCACTGAAGGGGAAGGCTAGAGGGGGCTGAAGGTAGGAGAGAAAACCTCAGTGGCAGAGAAGGGACACACGGGGTGGCCCAGATTGCAGTCCCTAATGCCCCAGTGTGGGGAGGCTCCCATCGGCTGTGTGGGTAGGGAAGCCGGGAAGGGAAATCATTTCAGAGTTGGCAATTACACCAAGCCCGGAGGGCTGTGGACATCCTGACAGCACGGGCCTGGGGACAAGGGTCAGCAATGACTTCCCACAAGAACTATTCATAGGCAAACGCAGCTGTGATCCTCTTCACCAGGGATGCCTTATTAAAAAGCACTCTGTTTGAGCGGCTGCCGAGAAAACATCCGTTTCTGGGGTGGCTTTCTGTCTCGGCGGGGATGACTGCCATCACAGTGGCAGGCCCCAAATGCAGAGATTAATGCGTGACACTTTTAATCCCTCACAGCCACTGGTGAAGGAGCATCCTGCCTGCTGTGCGCTGCTGCATCTGGCCTCCAAATGAAGCACATCCCCTCCCCAAAGGGTGGAAGTGAGGAGAAAAGCTAGCTGCTATTAAGAGACACACTGAAACCCATCTTCATATTGCCAGGAGAGGGGCTGAAGTGTTTTTGGAAGGCAGGCACCAGCGGCTGCAGACAGGCAGACAGACAGACAGTGGTGCAGCTGGGAAGAGGTTGCAGGATGTTCCCAGCAATCGACAGCTGGAGAAGGGAAGGGGTGTGCTGGGAGCTCGGCAATAACACCTGGAAAAGGAGAGGAGGGGAGAGCCGGTGTCTGATCTGCAGATGCAAGCCGGGAGCGTGTGGGCAGGGGTGTAGGAGGGCTTGGCGGTTGCGACGGGGAAGTTTTTCTCTTTGTCTGAAGGCACGGCTGTGCCTCGTCCTGTCTCGCTGCCTGCGTTTCCCAGGAGTTTACTTTTTGAGCCTGTCTGCTGAAACCCCTGGTTCTGCCTCGCTCACCTGAAGAATGCCATCAGATCTGCTCAGGTCAAAGAGACTGCTACCTACTCAGTGGCTGAGGAGTAGCAGAGACTGGGCTCTGTGATTTCCAGGTCCCAGGGGAGCCAGGAGCCATTTCCCCTGGTTTTACAGGAGGCACAGACATGGCCCAGCTCTTTTCTGCCCACTTGCTTCAGCCCATGAGGGAATTCATACAAGGCAGGGGAGAGTTAATGCTCTTTTTCCCTATGAGCTCTGCAAAGTTGTCCTGCAATGACATTTGCCCTAGCAAGGAGTTATTCTCCCTCCGTCTGAATGTTTATGTACCAAATACCTGTTCCTCTGTCTTTGTTCTCTAGTTCCTTAATCAGAAGTGCCTAGATCTTAACCAAAACGTAGGCTAAGAGCCCCTCCGAGGAGAGAAACCTGGCTGTGTGTGAGTCTAGAGGGGAACCAGGAATAAACCTCGGTATTTCCAAGTCATTAGTGAGCGATGTCTCTGGGCTTCTCCATCTTCTGTAGCCGAGAGGCAGGGACCAGATCTTAGGAGAGAGAACTCCAGAGAATGAAACTTCTGGCTAAACCAGTGACAGAAATGTTTTCCAGCCGCAATAACACACCTTGAGACATGGGTGAGGGCAGGAGACTTGCAAGAAAGGGGGAATTTCCTTTCCATGCCCCAGAGAAATCCATTCATTTGACCAGCAGGGCTTGTGAATGAGCCGAGAGCCGCTCTAGCCCCACGGCTTAGGGAGCTTCACCGCTTTTGTTTCAGTATTAAACAGCTGGAGGGATGTCTCCGCTAAGAATATGTGCAATAACAAAATCATTACTCTCCCTAATTATGCTCGCTAATGTGCGCTTATGGCCAGAAGACCTATTCCAGATTACTGAATTCGGTGAATTTATTAGCAAGGAAGCAGCAGAACAGGATTAGAAATCCCAAAGGTACGGCGTTACACAATGCACCGCGCTCATTTATTTTGACAAGCTTAGTTTAGTTTTAATTATTTATGATAATGAACTAAAATGCCTTCTCTGGGCTGTTTTGTATAAGTAATGGAGGCTTCCTGAAGTACACCACATGCATCTGCTGTTCAACGTTTCCTCAGGAGTTGGACAAGAGACAGAAGACGGGGGGAAGGGTGTGGAGACGTCACTAATTCCCAGACGCTAAAAATACCCACAGCAGTGCCAGAGAAACGTGCTGCCAGATTGTAGGGTATCGTTTGCTGCTTACACTGCATGCTTGGAATAATTCACTGCAGACAAATGGTGGGCTATGAAAGACCCTGCAATGGCCAAAGCTGCACCATCATGTATCAGTTGTGGCTCCCGCAATTTACCTAAGTCATGGGTTTGGCTTGTGATGTTTTTCTAGATTGTTTCTTGCCACAAAGTCACCTCTTGTGCTCTCTAATGATCCATGGTCCATTTTGTCTTGTCCCTTAGGCCCTGATGAGGACCGTGTGGCACTACTGCATCATTGCAGTGCCGCTGATGTTCGCCTTCAGCACGCTGGGCACCATCACTGACAGCATCCTTACCAAGGCCGTCCCCTCCTCTGACACTGGTAAGACTCGTCAAAGAAAGATCGGACTGGTCTGTTCTCATTTTTTAGTCCATCGGGTGCTTCCCAGCTCACACCACTGCTGTTGAGGACTGGGACACATTCATGGCAAATGCCCAATTGCCCAGCAAACCTGACTTGGCAGTTGCAGGCAATGGGTGCCAGCAGAGCGGATGAACAGGGACCAGTGGGGCTAATACAGGATGAGCTTGAACAACATTAAGCAAGCGTCCCACGACACGCTGCTACCGGTCCTGTACTGACATCCATAGTGCTGGACACAGTAAAGGAAGCCTCTCCCAAACACTCCTTTCCATGTGAACCCAGGATATGTTCAAGAAAAAAAAAAAAGCTGCTTTTTCACCGTGAGGGTGACTGAAGGGGCTGTTCGTTCATGCCTTTTAACTTAGGGCATCTCAGGAGGGTATTCTGGATCGCTCTTTGGAAACATGTTTTGCCTGATGCAGTAATTGCACCCATCTCTACGTTTTGGCCATGTTTCAGTCAAAGAGTTACTATATTTCTCTATACATGAGGGCTGAGGTGCAGAGGTAGACGAGCAAATCTTTACACCTGAATTTTTTCTTCTGTCAACAAAGGAAGTATGCCTACATTATTGTCATGAGAGCCTTGCTGTGTTTGTCCCAGAATGGAGCTGGGTTAACCCAGTTTGGTGTCTTTTGCTCAAGTTCTTTCAGGGTTTACTCCCCAAGCCATATTCACCGGGTACCCGAGAGTGTCTCTGCTCTAGCTGAGCCTTTCTGGGATGCCAGCCTGCACCCTTCATCTTCCCTAGCAGCCATCTCAGCAAATACCTCTGCGTAGACCCTACTGAGAAATGGGACTTACAGTTTGTGCAGCCCATTAGTGAAGTTTATAAAGCACTTTTGAGATGCTTCTGGATGAAGAGCTTTTCTAAATGTCACTTCAGTAGTTTATTTGTAGAGCTGAAGACTATATCTCCTACAAATGCTGGGAGCCTGTGATTTCCAAGTGTGATACTTCTACCTGGGGGGACCACTTAGGTGACGGGGAGGTGAGGACTGGGGATGTCCCAGCCCCTCTGCTCAGATGGGAAGCAAAACTGCTGTTTCATGAGTTGGAGCGATGTTCATGTGAGAAGAGAGAGCCGGGGGGAAGGGCACCAAGCAGCTTTGGGATGTACAGCCAAGCTGGAATACATCCAGGCTCTTCTCAAAGGGGCTTTGTGAGGAAAACCGGAGCATAGCTTGGCTTTTAGAGCCTGGAGGCAGGCTTCGGTCAGAGAGGAAAATGGGTTTAGTTGCCTCACCCTGTTCCCTGCTTGCGTATGTTGTTAGGTCAGCCTGCGCCTCGGTGGGACAGATGGTCTCCGCATGGCAGGCAGGATGGCAGGGCAGGACAGAGGCAGCCTGTGGGGTGGCATGGACAGTCAGGAGAGGGTCACGGGATGTCGTGAGAGCCATGGGCTACCTGGGGTTTTCTTCTGCCCGTCCATCCTGGGTTGATGCCATGCCAAGTGCTACTACAAATTGCAGAGTTATGGCTGGCTCAAAACTGGGCGTGCCGAGGAGGGATGCTGCTGGCACGCAGGATTGTGGTGCTGGGGGAAAACTTTGTCTCCACCACTCCTCCCTGACCCTCGCCTTTCAAACCCCACTTCCTCCTTGCAACGTTTGGGAGGGAAGAGGCATCTGGTGGGTTTGTGCTTGTTTTGAATGCACCCGGGCTGGGACCAGGGCGAAGCAAGGAATGCCTGACGCAGCAGAGCCACGTCCCGGCGAGCTGCCTCTCCGCAGCAGCTGCGGCAGTGGCGGCGTGGGTGTCTCGCAGAGAAATGCGGCTATTAAAATGCCTGCCATCGGTCTCTGGCCGTGGGTGGCACCCCACAAGGGCTGCTCCACCCATACAGCAGCTAAAAGGCCGCTCCTTCCTATGTGAGCCTCAGACCAGCTCTGCAAAGTGAGCGTTTCAGTGGCACATTTAAAATCCCCAGTTTTCTAAGAGCGCGAAAATTCAGCTTTATGAAAAAGCCTCACTGTTGCTGCGTCAAAAACCTGAGAACTAACTTGCAACAACTTTTAGGCAGTGCAATGAAATCACACGTTGGGAATTTGCCTTTGGAAACATCACTTTTGAGCCTTGCTGCTGTCTTTTCCTGATGTTTTTGTCAGCCTGGGGGCGGCAGAGCCCATGGAGGTTTTTCTTTGGGCCAGGGAGAGGCTTTCCCAAGAGCTGGAGGTTGGGCTGAGCTCAGATGTCCGTCCGGATGGGGCGTTGCAGGAGGGATAACCTGTCCGCCCTTGCTAGACACTGAGTCACGCGTGCTTGCCTTTTAAATAGGCGTCTCGGAAAGGGAACAGTGGGACGTAGGATGGCACCATCCCTTGCACCCATCATCCTGCTTTCAGGACCAAGCCAAGGTCACTTCCTACTGAGGCTGATGAGTTTGCCACTTGCTCTTTGCTTATGGCTGGGGCTTTGCACTGAAGGGAAGAGAGCGGAAATGATTTCATTCGTTTCCCTTTGATATTTTTTTTTTCTCCTCTCCTCATCTTCAAAGGCAGGAAGGGAAAATTCCGCCCCACGTGCACGTGCTGTTCAGCTGGGCGTGCGAGCTGGTGGGAGGGCAGCCCCGAGCCCAGGGGGACCTGCATCCGCACAAGCACTCCTTGTCAACCCCGGTCCCTCCCCGAGAATGGAGGTCTTGTTTCCGCACAGAGCCCCCCGCCCTCGGGGGAAGGAGGGAGGGAGCCCAGCAGAGCCTTCCCTGTGTAACGGGCCCATATTTCGTGATTTTATTTGCACATCAGAGGCAAAACTTTAGGAGGAGAGCTTGCAGCCAGGCAGGGCTTGGCACATTGAAAACCTCAGCTTTGCTCGGGCTTTGCCAGTTTGAAGGCGGCCGCTGGCGGCAATGACCTAATCGTTAAATTAGGCCCCGCGATTGCCCGGCGGGCACGAGGCTGATCTGGGCCAGCACCATCATCTGAGCGCGGCAACAGGATGTGAGCTGGAAAGGAGGGTGAGCCAGGGCGCTCCGGCACAGCGGAGGGTGGGAGGAGGGATGGAGCCGCCCCGCTTGAGGAGCCGCCAGCACCCAACCCTGAAACCTGCGGGAGGAAGGGAGGGCTGGGGCAGGAGGGGAGGATGGGCACCCAGCCGGGATGGGTCATGCCAGGTCTGGGGAAAGGTGGAAAAGAGCTGGGGAGGGAGGAAAAAATGGCAGGGAAGGTTCAGAAAGTTGGATAGTCATGATGAAGATGGTGAGCATGTGCGTTGGCAGAGCTGTGTAAAGCAACGCAGGAATTCTTCTGCTGACGTGGTGACTTGTCCCAGTTAAAGGTCTTGCCTTGAATGAGATCCATCACATGCGCAGCTTTGAAACAGAGTCATGGGGCCGTGCTGCAGAGCTGAGATTTACAATGTCCCAAAGCTCGAGGGCGTCTGCCACGAGGGATCTAATTTAAGCCCATTAAATAGAAATTATCTTTCTCAGCAACATGTTGGAGAAGTGCAGAGGGAGAGCCCAGCCTTTTAAGAGGATAGATTTCTACTCCAGAAAAAAAAAAAAAAAGAGAAAAGGAAAAAAAGTGCCTCCTCAATCACAAGAGCCAGTTTGACGATTGTATGTAGCAATTAGTTTAATTCAAATACCTAGAGGGGAAAAAATAATTGCAAAACCTGCCCAGAAAGTTTGGTGGTTGTGGGATGGTTCCCATTGGCAAAGGGTCAAGGCGAGGTCCCACCCATTGCCTTTGTGTTCCCATGCGTGGGAGGAGCGCTCAGCAGCGCTTCCCGGGAGATTTCCCTCTCGGCATGGCTACGCCCTCAGCTCAGGCTCATTGCACAAGTATTTTAAGCATGCTGATAAAAGCCCAGCAGTCGATGGCCGGCACTACGCGAACACCTGGCTGCCTCTTCTCTCCTAGAGCCGGGGATCATTTCTCCGTGGCTACCCACGTTAGATATCGCACTTGGCTCCACATCATCTTACATGCGGGACAGCATCCTCCTCATACTGGCCCTGTGAGGTGACGATGCCTCAACGCATGTCTTGGTGGAAAATTGATGCCAACAGCCCAAATAATTGTACTGATATTAAAAAAAAAAAAAAATTGCAAACATCATTTCAGAGCAGGGCACAAGTTTCTTGCATACACCGCCAGCTTGCCCTTCCTCCCAGTTTGGGGGGATAACGATTTTTCTGGCCAACTGGGTATTTTTTGCTCCCTTGAGAGACAGCTGTCCTGTATGAAGACTGCAGGGCAAAGAGCACACCGGGTGCATGGGGGCCATTTTTGCGTCCCGTGGGATGTCCTGGCCGTCCATCTGCACGTGGAAAAAAAACTACCTTTGCCAAACTGGAGGTGCTTCCCCATCCACTGTGTTCCTGTTAACAATGCAAATGGGAGAGCTGCTGGAGGGGAAACCGGCCAAGCCGGGTGAAGGGCTTGCATTTCCATCCAAATTGAAATATCCGTTCTTTTTGCAAGGGGGGTGGGGGAGTATCTCAAAGCAGGGGGGGTGTCAGTCTTTATCTGTGGTTTTATTTATTTATTCTTAAAGACCTAGTTAGTCCTAAGCCTCTCGCTCCTGCTAAGCCCTGGAGAGCTGTTCCTCTGTCCCACACTAGAGAATAAATGGCAATTGCAGCTTGGATGGAATAGGGCCCTTTGGGGTAATTATGATATTGGAAGAATCTGTGTAATTTGCTTGGAAGTCTTGAAACCGACCCTAGAAATTACCTCTCCATCTCAAATGCAATGCAGTGGTTACCAGCCTTGCTGGGTGCGACGTTCCAAAGCATCTTCTGGGGCCAAAGGCATCCTTGGATCCCAGTGAAGGCAGTGGTGAGCACCGGCTTGCTTTTTGGGCATCATTACGGCCATCCAAACCACTCAGTAAAGAGCTGAGCTGGCTCATGGTGGAACCTAATCCCCATGCTTCCAGGAGTCCTTAGCCTTAACAAACCCTAATTGGAACTCTATAAATAAATGCAAGAGATTATTTGAAGTGATTTGCTACTACTGCAGGGGAATACCATCAGGGACAAAGGGGATCCTGCATGCTCTTCTCCACTTTCTCATACCAAGACTTGCCCTCACCCTGATGTCTTCTTGTCTCTGCCATTTCTCCTAGGTACGATGCTCGGGATTTGCGCCTCAGTGCAGCCCTTGACCCGCACCGTGGGCCCCACCATCGGTGGAGTATTATACAAACAATTTGGAGTCTCCTCCTTCGGCTATTTACAGCTAATTGTCAATATAGGCTTGTTTGTTTACCTCTTGAAGAGTAAAATCCCGCTGAGAGAGATGAAAAACCAATAACTCAGCTGCAAGAAAGTAAGCCCTTTACTTTTTCTGTAGAACTAAAGATGTTCTTGAGTTTAATTTTTGATTAAAACTGGAATAAAACTGTTCGAACAAGACCTTGCCTTTCATCAACATGTGCATCTAGACTAAGGGACAGATTGGCTTGCAAAAGCCTTGGAGCCGTGCTGGAGCAGCTGGTGGCTGCGGGACCCCTGGAGCTATCAGGTTCCCCCCGCCCCGCAGTGGTGGCTGTCATTGCAGGCAATAGCTCCAGATCCTCAGCTGTTGTCAGGCAGCCTTCCAGCTTGGATGGATTCACCAAAACCAAGGGGATTAGAAGCCAGTGCCTTTACTTTGCTTTGGCCTTTTCGTTCACCCCCGTGCAACTATACTGAGGAAAACTGGGGTAAAACACATCTGCTTTTGAGTGTCATTTTGCTGCATTAAATGCACCTCTGGCGTGCTTGTGCTAGAGAGGAATTGAAGCCAAAGGCTCTCAAACACTGTGACCAAACGTTGCCCACATCCACAGCTCAATCATGTGCAACCCTGCCTCTGCACGAGCCTGGCGGGCGGCAGTGTAGCTGCCAGCGGCGTGCCAGGAGGATGCGAAACCCTGATGAAGCATGCTGCAGTGCCAGAGTCTCCCTGCTGCGTCCAGAAACGAGGGCCAACCCCCCTTCCAGGATTCCCCCCCCCCGCCCCGTACTGAGTCTCTCTTGCTGTTACTACAGGCTACTTGGAATTACATCCTTTGCAACTTCCTCTAGTACAAAGTCTCCTGCAAGAATTGCACAGCTATTGGGAGGGGGAAATTACCTGATTGAAATTACCAAATTTGGAGCATTAGTAGCGAGTACCTTGCCTGCTAGGCTCAGAGTCCTGACTGCCGGAGCTGAGTCATGCGCTACAGCATTGCTCTCGAGGAAGCCCAGTTCAGTTAGTGATAATTGAGCCTCAAAAGATAAAACTTTTTTAAAAAAATAAAATAAAAAAGTAGATCTATCAAAAAAAAAAATAGCTGTTTTTTTCTCCAAGCTTCTTGGTCCAGGAGCTGTTGGAAAAAAAGACCGTCTCCATTCTTCCCAGTTATCCTGTCGAAATTTAACTCAACCTAGAGACTGCAGAGGTGGAGGAAGAAGAGAGAGAGTGAGGCGTTCAGCTTGCTTTGTTGCGAAGCTGAGGAATCCCATGGAGCGTCAGCGCCGTGTTATTCTGAAATCAAGAATCCAGCTTTCTGCCTTAGCACAGCACTAAGCTATGGGGGCCGGGGGAAGGCCGTGGGGCGTTAGCAGGCAGCAGCATTTTATTGTCGCAGGGAGCTTTTGTGCCTTCTGTAGCCGCCATGACTCAATTATGTGGGAAATCACTTCAAAAGCAGCACTTATCCAAGTGGTCGTAGGTTTTTCTACTTCCACCACTGACCAGAATTGGACCTCAACACACTTTGCCTCCCTGGTAGGAAGACGAGGTCAAACGCAAATGGATTATCTGGGCTTTCTCCACCTCCCACTGCCCAGTCTGGGGCACCAAAAAGCAGAGCTTACCCACTCTTTTTAAGCCACTACACCACTGCCCATTCCACAAACATGCATCAACAAAAGTTACTGCAGCCCAGAGTACCGTAATAAAAAGTGAACATTTCAAGTAATTTATTTGGAATGGACATATTAATGCAAAGGCAATATTAAGACCAGTAACTGTTGAAAGACATTCATCAAAATAAATACAAATATAGATACTACAAATAATTTAAATTGTGTTTAACACCATCAGTCATTGTTGAATCTTCTTGGTGTCTCATAAATAGAAGATAATTGTTCGCAAAGCCATGCCACTCAAAACACGTGGACGCTTCTCTAGAAGTCCTTTACGAACATCTTTGGTTTTTCTTTATATGCATCTCAGGCAAAGCTCGGGGCTTTTTGCTGAGCAGCCTCAACGGGCTTGGAGAAAACCAAGCTGCTTCCAGCTCTCTTCTTCACTTTCCTTCATTGGTACCCTGTCCCATTTCAGTCCAAGACACTTGATCTGGTTTATCATCCAGTGGTATACTCTAAAGGGAGCAAAAGAAAGCAGGTTAGTTAAGTGAACATGACAGCAAGGCAGAAAAAAAAAAAAAAAGAGCAGGGTTTTAATGGCAGAGTCAGCTTTCCGCATTTATTTCTGCAGATATTGTATTTTTAGCAAATTCTGGAAAGAAAGCACTGCTGAGTGCTGTTTCTTATTTCCACACCTCACCTCCGCAATTCTCAGCGCCCTGCATCAGCTCGGCTCCCACCAGAAATTCCCAGCGCCGCACCAGGAAAGGGGGAGTGAGCGAGCGAGCCCTGAAACTCCTGCGCCGAAGCGGCCGGGCAGCATGCCCCGGTTTCGGGGTGCGGCCAAGGCACCCTGGCGGGGCGGTGGTGGGGCCAGAGAGGC